CACGCTGTGTTTGTGGGAGACATACTATAAGCTGATGCAGTAGCTACATATTGTCCTGTATAATCAACATGTGTAGGTCTTGTTTTGTTTACGCTGTGTTTGTGGGAGACATACTTACTATCAGCTGATGCAGTAGCTACTGATTGTCCTGTATAATCAACATGTGTAGGTCTAGTTTTGTTCACGCTGTGTTTGTGGGAGACATACTTACTATCAGCTGATGCATTAGCTACATATTGTCCTGTATAATCAACATGTGTAGTTCTTGTTTTGTTTACGCTGTGTTTGTGGGAGACATACTTACTATCAGCTGATGCAGTAGCTACATATTGTCCTGTATAATCAAATACAACATCTAATATCTCATCATCATGACCTCGCAATGTTCCTACACACTGACCAACACTACTGTCCCATATTTTACATGTTTTGTCCATAGAACCAGTAGCAATTAATGAACAGTCATAGTTGAATTGAGCACTGCTTATTTCACCTCTATGTCCTATTAATGTGTGAATTCTCCTGCAAACAACAAGAACACTAGTCAGTAATTTCAAACAAGAATGCCAGCACTTACAAGTTTTAATCACTTTTTTTTTCATTTTTTAAAATTGTAATCACATTAATTTAGTTTTGAAATAATTGTGATTATGAAATCATTACATCAATTTATTTTCAACTCATACAGTGGTTTTGAAACCATAACAAAATGGTTGTGAAATCATAATTATATAACAATATTTTGAAAGCATTTAAGATATTTTCTGTACATACTTTCCACTCCTGACATCCCATACAGAGACAGTATGATCAAATGATCCCGTAATAATCTGATCTCCTGTTGTGTTGAATGATAATGAGATGATTTCTGCAGAATGCCCAGACAGCGTGCTAACTTCTGCTCCTGTTTGAACATCCCATAATTTGGCTGTAGTATCCATACTACCAGTAGCAACTAACGTACTTTGTGGATTAAATGATATACATACCTGAAATAAGATTGAAAGAATGTAAAATTACGGTACAATCCAACAACAAAGTTGATGATGTAAGAGATAAGTTTATATCTATGTTACTGTTAATATAACTTACAATTTCAGCTGTATGACCTCGAAATGTGTGATAACATTTACCAGTTTCTGAACTCCAAAGTTTACAAGTTTTATCAAAAGATCCTGTGGCTATCTTGTCACTGAAACAAAATAAGAAAACATGAATGTTGTGTTTTTTTAAGTCAATGCCGTGCTGTTTACATGTACTGCACTAAACTACCAGTGTTCTCCCCAGGATACAAACAGTGTGACAGTTCCGCCTTGCTTGTCTGCCATGCTCAAAATTATTACCAGCACTGATTAAATCATTGATTTCTGCACCTTTACTATTTCCTTGCGTTCTATAATTTCCACAGCTATTGTTCTATGAGACTTGTCCTCGCTGTTCTTTTAAGCCATAAACAATAACTAACAAAAGTCAGAAAGCTGCTCAGTTTATTTTGGTCAGCATGTACTTGTTGTAAATTGTAATCTATTTTCGTAATTCACTGATCATGCCAAAGCCGATGTCAAACGTTTGAAGAAAAGATTATTCGAATGTTGAAAATAAAACATAAAGGAAATCGTAGAATAATTTATTCAACTTGCTTTTCCATTGTAACTTGTTTATTTGAATCGGTAGAACATCACAAATTCGAACCGTCTGTACGTGATCACTCTGATTTGAAACTTTATATGAAGTAAAAATGATTGAAACATTGATGAAATCAAAAAATTGTGCGGGTTCCAAGTAAGGCCGCGAAAACTTGATGCCAAAAAGTTGAACTTGCTTTCTATCATGGCTGGTGACCATTTGGCCTACCTTATTAACAGACAGCAGCCTACCCGGTATCTGCCGTCATAATGAGACAAATG